GACCCGCCTCCCGGTCGTGTTCGAGCCTGGCGGCGAGTTTCCCCTTTTGATCCTAGCAACGTTTCGTGATTTGCATCTTCTGTGTTAATGTTTCCTTTTCGTCTCTTTACTCTTCAACAGATGGCAAGTGCCGGGCAGAAGCGGATAATCCAATTCACTGGATTTAAAAAACGGGAGAAAAAGGCGTTGCTCAAATGGCTGTTCAAACTGGACTGTGTGTTCATAGATAATAAGGTATTGTTCACTAAAGTACCTGCTGGTTAGCGCAGAAAATAAAAATACAAGCCTTAAAAGAAAGGACCATGCGGGAGTTTAGAGTTGTGTATAAATAACCGAGGAAGTTGAACTGTTCCCAGTGATGCAAGTATGTTCGTTTTTGTTTTGTTAGAAATACAGGAACTGTACACATCTTATAGCAAAAAAGCTGTGCAAGAGTGAAAAGTTCTTAGCGGCCTGTTCTGCTGGTGAGTAAAAGGTTTGCCTTAAAACATGTATTTCATAGCACCATAATGCAGGATTGGAAAGGACCCCTAAAAGGTGTCTAGTTACCTGCTTTCATTTCAGGAATGAACGGTCTTACAAACCCTTCTTCTTGTTCCATTAACCTTGATTTTTAACATAGCATTATGTTCAAGTTCTTATTTACTTACTTTTGGTTTGGAGTTTTTCCTAAATTATATTCCTGCCATCTTCCTTTATTTGATCTGCATTTTTCCCAGACATTTGTTACTATATTAACATACTAACTAATACATATATTGATTAATCATGAAGTCATAGGCAAATGATATCAGCACTTAAAAATAGATTGCTTGGGAAGGGGGCAGGGAGAGTATGGCCACCTGTAGCCAATGTGGGTTTTCGACACCAAATTCACACACAACATTTACTGACAAAGGTCACTGTATGTTCCTGTTTATGTAGCAAGAGAAAATTCCAGGCTTTTTCCATTCTGACACAAGCCTCTGATATTTGAAGTCCCATACATAGGCAGCTAAAATGCCTGTAGAATGAGAATTTCTTACTTTTTGGAATTTAAAACATCAAGATGTTTTCTTGAACTGAGTGGAGGCAACATGTACAGTGGCCACAAGGCAATGCGAAACTGTCATGTTTCTATACTTGTAAATCTTTCCCAGTACCATCTAGTACTCCTGGAAGAGGTGGTATTTTCACATAATCATTGCTGTTGCCCTTTAAGGCAGGGGGAGTGTCTTCATTGCCAAGATGAAGATTTTTTTTCAAGTGTAAAAGATCATGTTTAAACTCATTTAGAACTCCCTGGATGTGAACAGAAGTACTAACCAGGATGCCTGTCCTCATGCAAGTCCTAACTGGCAGAAGTTTTGAGGTGGAAACTTTGACTGAAAGTGGTTTTAACATACAGGTAGCTCTCAGCATATCTTTTCCAGTCGCGAGTCTACTGGTACCTATGCTAGGTTATGTAGAAGTACCATCTGTGCTCCTGCACTGAGACATTCTGCTAGTCAAACCTGCTGTTCCGTGAAACCAATTAGATTCACACAATTCAAGTCAATTTTTCTTACAGTATCTTCTGTAGATAGCGTTTCAATACAGGAGCAGGGTACTAACCACAGCTCTTGACCTGAACCTGTAAGAAGAGAGAGACAGAGAAAAAGGGGGAGATCATTACGCACCGTATCAAAAGCATACATGTGGAAGATGAAAGGAGAGGCGGAGGAGGTGGAGCCAAGGGATGAGAGGAAAAGGATGTGAAAAGAAGAAAGGGGAAAGACAAAAGTCTACAACTGTATTCCGCTAACATTGGTATTCACTACACTCGCAGTACAAGTAATATTAAGAGTATACAAAAGAAAGAGCTTACATGCTAAGATCTTTGTTCCTCTTTTTAATCATTGGTGATCAAGTATTTTCTCATTTTGCTACATTCTAGTACATTCGTAGAAGTGTCAAATAGTATTAAAAAACGAAGGGTTAAGCAAGGTTCTTTGGAAGTCTTAAGAACAAAGTCCGGGAAGCTGAAAAATTCCATTTGCAGATTTTTGAGATGAACAAGTATTTTATCTAGGAAGGGTAAAAGGGTATCCTTAAAAGAAGTGTGAAGAGGACTCTTGTAGTAGGAAGAAGTTTTAGAAGTGGTACTTAAAATTCCAGCTTTTACTTGTGTAAGAAAGGTTGAAGTTAATTTTATATTAGATCTTCAATTGATTGCCATTTGTCTGCACAAAAAATCTTTTGTGGTTGACTGTTCATTTGCTCTTTAGGAAAGTGGATACTAACTAAGGAGTACGTAATTAATAGTGCCGAAAGTGGCAGATGGCTTGATGAAACAACGTATGAATGGGGATATGAAATTGAAAAAGGCACCCATTATTCACCTCAAATGCAATCTGCACCTAAAAGATGGCGCGAAGAACTGACACGCTCTGGTGCTCCAGGGGCCTTTCACAGATGGAAAGTTGTCCTTCCTGTAAAAGAAGGTGATAAACAAATGGCATCTATTAGAAGGTAGGAGGATATGTCTTAAAGCTTAAATAATGAACGATGGAACAGTTACTGTATGGTTGAGCACATTTCTGTTCTTCTATCCCAGTTAATTTGGTCCGTAATAAGCTCCAGCTTTTTAAACTGAATTGTTTTCACTACATATACACTAATACACTTCCATAGTTTTTATAATAAAATGACTTCAAATCTTTAACATCTCTGCTTTTCTCGCTTTCTTTCAGTATAGTGTCAAAAATAACACGCATTCACATATGTTTGCGTCTGAAGGAAATTGCTTACAGAAACTTTCTTCATGAGGCAAGATAAATAGGCTTATGTTTTTTATGAATAATTGCTTATTTTATATGGATGTTACATTCAAAGAATAGCTAGAACAGGATAAGTAATTTCACTTGGGTGGGTGACCTGAGCCAGCTGTGAACTGTGTGTGACAGATGTGGGCCACACTGTGACTGACCTAATAGTTTGCTGTGTCACATCTATGTAACAGCTTCTGGTAGGTCTGAAGACCGTACTGTAATGGATGTTTATGATATGTAAACAGAGGTAAATAGAGATGGATCAGAAGGGAAAGGACAGAAGCATAAAGGAAACAGAGAAAAGGAAAACAACTGAAGTGCAAGAATTCTAGGACTGCTTTCCCCCACCACCCCCCACCCCTTACTCTTCCCTACATGTTAGGGTTCCATGGTTTGAATGCTACGTTGAACTGAAACAGAGCATAATAAGTAACATTGGCTTCTGGTACACTGTCTTAGAGCTTTGTGTTCATTGCAGGAGCAGATACTGTGCTACTCTCCATCTCTCTAGAGATCTCATTTATAAATACTTAGGTCTGGGAATGCCACAGATAAAGGTGCAAGAAGGGAAGTGCAGTTTGTCCAGTTGATCATGGTATGCTGCATCACAGAGTGCCATCTGTCTTGTTCATGAAGACAAAGTGAGGTGTAGCTGAAGATACTGTCTCTTGATTTTGCCAACTGAAGACATTCTAAGTACACTATTTTCTTCGCTGAGCAGAAGAGTGCTGTCTAGCGGAAGGATGCACTCATCCTGCTATACTTGTGAAAGATGCTGTTTCTTTTTCCACAAAAACTGCTTATACAAATCTTCATGATAACACTATTGAAATGATGTGTTGCACAGCTCTGTTCGCAATGGAGATAGCCATTAACAGGAACTAGATCAGCAAGACAGGTGAACAGGCAGTTTTGTGGAGGTAATTCTTTTCCTATGTATCAACATGGAGATCCTTTTACTCGGTCAGAAACCACTGAAAGGTAGTTACTTCTTTTCATCTCCAGCAAGTTCTGTTTTCAGTCATAAAAGTCATTATAGCTTTGGGGAAATACTGTTTTTTCTCTAGCATTTAAAAAAACTCTGCCTTTTTCCCTCCTCCTGTGCCCTTCCTGCTTTTAGTCCCTAGCTGTTGGATGGGTAAGTGTGCAAGACTGGCATAATTTTCTTTTTACATACCTGGATTGCGTATATCCAGCATGTCAAGAGACCTTATTTCTTCCACCATCTTTTTTTTTTTTTTTTTTAATTTTTTTTTCTATTATTTTATTTTTTCTGTGTCTCATCTTCTCTAAACAATAGAAACACTTGCAGCAGTACAACTCTGGAGAAACTTTTGTGTAATGGTGTCTCAAAGACAAACCTGTTTGCTATGTGCAATATAGGACAACCCCAAATGCTGTTAAATAACTCCAAAATGAAGCAAAAATACCGTATTTTCATTATGTAAATATGTTACAGTTAGAAAAGCAGTGTTTTGGTTTTGGTAAACCACTTAATTTACTGCAAAACTTAATTGAAAGACTACCATCATTGTGAGGAATATAGTGCAATAAATCATAGCTGCTGTTACCAAATTCGGTCTTTGAAAAAATGCACAGGTAAAACTTTCTATGGCTATGTTGGAGGTACATTGATTATAACTGATAGCATTAATATGCTAAGGAAAAAAGGGTTCTTTCCTTTCCTGAAGGCTGTTAAGTGCCCTACTGAAGGCTGGGCAGTGCCATGCATCTAGAACTCTTTTCCTCTTCTAATTGCATGCTACTAGTTTGTGAATGTAGCTTTAGGCGATATTAATATAATGCAGTAAGCATCTTTCCAAATATGTTTATTTAGAGTTCTTCAAGCTGGAAAGGCAGCCATATGTTCATCGCAAAATGCAGAGCACAATATAACTCATATTTTCGTCAATAATAAAATTTTTCCTATGCAAAGCAAAAAATGTCTCTCTGAAGATCATTACTACCCTGTGCAATATCTAGGACATTACATTTTTGAGGTAAGTAAATTAAACAACATAACTAAAATTAGTTTTTTATTGTCACTGTTAGCAATTTATGTCATGTTTCCTGATTATTTAATGCGATATTAATGGTATTAACAATGGTCAGCCTGAATGTTTTGCAATTTAGTTCAAGGTAACAAGGTGTTCTGATTCTGGGACTGTTTACCCAAGGTGAAGGAAGGCTGATGAATGATATGAATACCTGAAGGGAGAGTGAGGGAAGACAGCCAGGCTGTCATCAGTGGTACCCTGTGACAGGACAAGAGGCAGTGGGCACAAACTGAAGCAAAGGAGGTTCTGTCTGAAAGTCAGGAAACGCTTGGGTTTTTATTATGAGGGTGATGGAGCATTGGAACAGGTTGCTTGAAGAGGCTGTGGAGTCTCCATTGTTGGCAATACTCAGAAGGTGTTCAGGCACGGTCCTGGGGAACTGGCCAACCAGAGGAAATTACACCAAGGAAGAATATATTATTTCCTCCTCTTCATGTTCTTCCTTGGCTCCTGCTTTGTTCACTAGATTCAACTTTGTGTCCTCACATGTCAGAAAACCTGTTGCTGTTTGTGAAAAAAAATTCTCTGTCAGTCAGAAGTCAAAATTCTCGAGAATGCAAGCTCTGTATTTCTTAGTTGATAGAAGATGATTCTCCAGAGTCCCTCTAACTATAACTTTATAACATGAGACAGTACGTCATCACATCCATTAAGATATGAGGTCCTGAATGGACCTTATTTGAAGAGAGAAGCCACACTAAAAGTCATCATTCCAGAGAGGTGAAGTTTTTTTGCTGGTATGGCTAAGCCAGATGAAGAACCCAGTGCAATATCAACTGGTTCAGAGTGTTAGGTTTACCATTAATCTCCAAGGTTGGATCAGGCGTTAAATTTGCAGCGATGCAAAAGACATGGCAGAGCAAAAAAAGTGGCTTATTTCCCATTCATTTTTCTGTCTTGAACCTGGAGGGGACATGTCACTGTTGAGTGAATTTTCCTGTATGTATGGAATTCATTAGAACTTGCTATTTCCCCTGAGAGAGGTGCCTCATGATTCATATGTGTTTGCTCACCAGATGCACTATTCAGAACTTCTTTCAGTAGTTCCAGGTCAAAATACTGAGGCCTCAGAAGATTCTTTTAATCTGGCAGTTCCTTAGACTGTGGGATGGTTTTAGTCAACTGCTAATTGAAAATACTACCTTTGCAAGCAAGTAGGAGCTAGAACTGTTTGCTAGTCAGAGAAACCTACTTATTTGAAAATTCTTTGGATTCTTCAGATCAATGCATATAGTTTGCTCTTTAATGAGCAGTAAAGCTGTATCGGAAGGGTGAGAAAAAAGTTGAAAGGTCTTAATGTTTACCTGCTGAGTAAAATACAGCTCAACATGGAATCTCAGTCTAGTGCTTACACTCTTAATGAAACTTGTTCAGGAAAACTGTTCTCTATTACACCTTTCAGCTAAGAGAGACATTTACATTTAATAGAGGAACGAGTGTCAAATTTTTGTGTCTGCTTCTCCTTTTATTGATCTCTGAGAATAAAGTGTTTCTTGCTATGCACCGTGAATTCCTCCCAGGCTTCCATCTTAACCAGTCCATTAACTTGCACGCATCTTTCTTTCTTAGATTTCATTAAAGTAACTCACCTCAGAGGCCAAGAGAGCATTGCTTTCTATTTAAATGCATCTAAAGAACTCAGAAAACTGCCAAGACTCTAAGTCTCTTAAAAGGGAAAGAATAAAACATAGGCAATCAAATCACAGCACTTGTCCAAATGTATTATGCTTTATCAAAAAATGTTACGGACATGCTCATTTTCTCTCCCTTCCAGAAGTACTTGGCACTAATTCATTAGAATGTTCCAACTTTGTAAATTTGTAGTCCTGCTATCTGAATGCTACTTCTAGCAAATATAAATACACCTCTTCCTCCCCTAAACACCCACATATATGTTCAGATGCTGAATTCAGCATAACAGTATTATATTCTTTTTCTCAGTGTAACTGCACTGATGTTCAGACTAGTCTTGCTGTGATCTTTTTTCTTTTTGAACCAAGTCTTTGCTTCATCTTTATATTTCTGTATCTGTTCTTAGAATCTCAACCTCATAACTCTGTAGTGTTAAAATGCTCTGTGGGATTGCCATTAATGATCTGATCCTACAGGGTGTCAAATTTGGTGTTTCAAGATATTAAAACACATGATTTTAGGGAGCTGATCTCAAACAAGAGACTTTAAATGCTTTGTTGAATGCATGCTGGAATTAATCAAATTTTGCCAAGATGGTACTGTAAATTGAGTGTTTTTCTAAGCATGTTGAAAATCATGTGAGGAAAGTGCCACGAGGTAGAGATCAATGCATCAGAGTTCATTTGGCTCATCAAAAGCTATTAATCTTTTCAAGTTACTAAAAATACTTAATTCTCCTGTAATGTGCAACAAACTCAGTATTTCTTTAGAAATGCAGTTTGGCACATGCCAAATACTTCTCATTTGGATTATATATTGAGAGGTACATATATTGGTGTGAATCTTAAATTTAAGGGAAAATCTGAAAACAGGATGAAACATGCAGTGTTTGAAACTTTATCTTGAAAACTTAGAAGTATAAACTGTTTATGACTTGCATCTTGCCATTGTGTGCACTACTGTGTTTTTTTGCCTGCTGTCATTTCCCTTATTTCTCATACTTGATCCACCCATCAGATGTAGGTCTTTGAATAAGAAGGCATGCTACCCCAAGTCTTCCACACCTCCTCTCATCAGTACTGTGACCAAGGGGAGTGCTTCCCTTATATCTACATTCTTAACTCATCACACTGCAGGAGAAGGCTGGTTTTGTAGTTACATGTGTGTTTGCCTAAAACAAATATGGTGTTTTATTCTTAGTCTGTGTATCTTTGATGAAAAGCATACATTGAAACTCTTACTGAAATGTACTGTCCTCATATCCTGAAATAACTTTAAAATATTTTTATAGTTATTTTTTACTACAAAAATTATCTAGGGGCTTTACTGAGAGTCTTTTCAGAATGAGTTGGAAACCAGTTTGAGGGATACATCCTTGTTCCAGTGCTGATGAGATAGCTGGAAACAATAGGTAGACATAGAGAATATATCATTAAAAAAAAAACCCAAAAAAACCAAAAAAACTCCGCCCACAAAAAACCCACAACAACAACCAAACAAATGAAAAAAAAAAAACCAAACCCAAACTTTAAATTTTAAATTACTAGCTTACCTCAGGCTTATAGGCAAGAACTGAAAAAAATTTATTTTATCAAATGAATGCATGGTCATAGTCAAATTGATGAAACAATGTCTTAAAAAATCCTTACTACATTTTCAAATAATTAAAAATCTGCAGGCTTCTTTGAGAAGTTCCAAAAAAGAATCCATTATGGAAACACAACTCTTGTTTCAGCCACAGGGACTGAGTCAGTGTTAAAGTCAGTTAGGAAAAATAATTCTGGGGAAACTGACATTGATCATTACTGTGCTATAACTTCCCACAACATCAGTGGTTTGTTTCCAAACCACTAGCTGTTTATATGGCACATAACGTAAAACCTTGAACAATTACATCAGCATGCATAGACAAGGGTTTATAATAGAATATGTAGAAAGGCTTTGCACATAAGAGCTAGTTTAGAGCATTAGCTTTGAAACTAAAAGTATTTTTTTGTTCTGCACAGAATGAGACACAAAACACCAACGATATTAGAATGGACCATTTCCCGGCTGCACAAGAAGGAGACAAAATCATGTCGAACATGCAGCTTGCTGAAATGAAAAATGCTGTTATAAAACATATGTATTTTGGTGCAGTAAGTAGCAAGCAATTAATGCTTTCTTAGCATAAAATGTATACCATTAAATTTATCTTTCATTACAGTGCAGAGTGAATAAAGTAGGTATTTTACATCTTTTGAAATAGTAATAATGCCTTTTAACCTGCAATGTTTTATAATCCCGTATTTACTACATATACCATTAGTTGAATTATAAGTTAGTAGTGATAATTGATAGGTATGGGTGTGTGAAAGACATTGTGGACTACTTGAAATCATGGTGTAATATGTGAGATAAGTAGCAATATTGTTCAACAAAATGGATTACAGGTTTTCTAGGACTTTCCTGTTCTTTAGCCAAATTGCACTAGCACCTATGTAAAACTAACCATATTCTCGAGGAAGTATTTTGTTGATTAATATGAATGTTTTTTATAACAAGCAAAAGAGAGAGCTAAATGCACTTCTTTGTCTAAATGTCAGATATCTAATTCTGCTAAACATGCTGCATTAGTAATTAAACCCACTATTTTGTATCTAAAAAGACACAATAATTTGAGTTAGGATATATTATTTCTGTAAGTTACAGTGATACAAATGGTGGTGTATTTTTTTTAAGAGCTTGCTTAGCTGAAGCACAGTGTAATTTTGTGATGGCAAAATCGGGTACTCTATGTATATTAACTTCTTAGTTAGCAAAAGAATCATAATTTTTAACTCCTCAATGTACACAATGTTTAAACACAAGACTAACAAATAGAAGGCTCATGCTGCTTAAATCTATACACCTTCAAATGATACATCTTTTATTCAGAGACATTTTATCATGACTATGCCCTCCAGACCTTTAAAACCTGTGTTGTTGACTCTTCATGTATACTACACTCAAGTGCATTTATTATCAGATTATCTTTCCCTCAAACTGTTAAATCTTTGCGTCTGCAGATGGAGTAAGCATAATCCTCAAGACAATCTCTCTTAAAAGACTTTTTTGGTAACATGTATTAGTAAGATCGTATCACTAGGCCATTAACTAAATGCAGCAATAATAGTAACATGTTTATACAGGTACTGCCATATCTAGGCAACTTGAGGAATCCAAAGTTTGCATTTTGCCACAGAAAAATTGAAAACACTTAATATTTTTTAAGGTGGTCAAGCGGACCAAATCTACTAAAACTGACCTTACCAAGCAACCCCATAAACAAGAACCAGAGAATAACAGGAAAAATGTGTAGAAAAAATGACCATATTATTTTCCTTTTGGGTCACTAACTCACTATTTCATAGCTTCGCCATCCAAATATTTAAAAGATAGATAGAAATAGATTTCTGTGTTGAATATTTTGCTTGAACTGTGTTTAACAAAAGTTGTCATTTTGGGAACTTTATACAGGCTGTTAAGCACAGGTTTGCTCAAAAAGACCAGCTGAACAAGTGTGGCCCAGAGGTAAGTACAGTCACAGAGAAGTCATGTTGCATATATTGAATTTATTATTAAATTAGGCACATATATTTTCAGTAAGAAATCAGCTATCAAACATTTTAAAATATTTGTAATCCAAAACTCTAATAAAATTATTGAAGAGTTAAAAAGCATCATTAGGATGATGGACTTGATGATCTTAAAAGTCTTTTCTAACCTAGTTGATGCCATGTTTAATGTTGCTTGTTCTTACAACACTTTCAGTACTGTCCCCTTTATTACAAAGAAACTCTTTAACCCTGTTAGTTAAGAGAACCTTACCTGTTAATGTTAGAAGCAGCAAAATGCCCTAACATGATTTAGAGCATCTTAAGTTGTTCAAGTGCTATATTTATGCAGTAGTGTAAAGAGAAAGTATTCACAACATTTTGCAGTGCCCACCTGGTTTTGCTAGTAGGGACAGACTTTAACTGAAGGTTGTCTCACAGTAGAAAAAAAGAGTAGCTTTTACAGCATGAGCCTTAAACATCATCATGCAGGTTTCAAAGTATACTGAAGCAGAGATTGCAAGGAGAATACATTATGTTTTACAGTTCTGTTTTCGCAGTTACTTTGACTTAAATCCTTTTTCTGTTTTTTGTGCTATTGAGTTAATTTTGCATTTTTCTTCCCATTAAGCCAAATAAATGCCATAAATCAGGTGTACAGGTCAGCAACAGGTTTTATTAAGTCTTTGCTATATCTAAGTAAATACTTTTCATATAAAGCTGTATTTTAAGTGGTAACTTGTGTTATTTAAAATAGGAAACACTTAAACTTATATGTTAGATTCCTGTGTTTCTTGGTAGATGAAGATTTGATAACTTCATGAGCTGTCCTACATGAATAGTTATGTCATGTATAATGAGGTCCTAGTCTGACAAAATGAGCTCTCAGGCTTCACATAAACTCTTTTTATCTGATTTCTTTCTGTTAACACAGTAAGAAAGGGAAGAGAAAAATATTTTTAAAACATGAGCACTAAAATGCCGTTGTCATTCAGTGCTGCCATTAATGGACAGAATGCTGTGTGCATTTCTGTTACTGAACAGATTTGTAACTGAACAGATTTTTATTGAAATTTAAGGTTGATGTTTAGTTTATTGAATTTATGGGGGAAAGACCTCTTTAGCTTTCTTAACACATGTAAATTGAAATTGTTATTCTGTGCTTTTAATAATAGTTTACGTATGCTTAACTAAGATTCCACATTATGCTGTATAAACCACAACTGACTTCTTTATGGACCTGTGTTTTTTATTTGTTTCTACTAAAGTTTTGATGGTTGTACCCAAAGTGCTTCACAAGAAACTGCTAGTTCCTCATCAGCCAGAATGTGAGCCAATGCAGCTTTGTACAGCTTACTGAATATTAAGACCCTACAACAGATGTCTCCTGATAGTGAATAAAGCTCATGACCTCAGTTTTCTACCCTTTTTCCTTCCCCCATACAAGTAAACTGAAAACTGGTTCTTCAGTTCCTCCTTAACTTGAATGTAATGCAAAAGGCCTCACACTCTCCCAAAATAGTTTTGTCTCAGTGTACTTTCCAAATAATGCATTGATGCTGCTGTTTGTTCTAGTGCTAGAATTTTCAAGAGATACAAGTTTCAATCACAACATAAAAAGACGCCTGCTGGTACAACCACGAGATGAAGGCCAGTAGTAACATGCTTGTATGTGCACAGCGTACTGAGTCATCTTCAGACATCTTAAATCCAGGCAACAGAGAAGTTGTTCTTTGACTGCTATTAAATAGTTTATGATTGCTCTTTAGATGTGCTGTTTGCATATCATTAACATTACAAAAGTATGAATGTAACCATTATTGCCAACGGGAAATAATGTGAAGATTTTAATAGTGCATATATGAACAAGAAAATTGAAATAAATGTGAGCTGCAAATGCCAGATGCACAAAGACTTGATTAAAAGAAAATTGTCTAGATGAGCAGCTTTATTTATTGTTAATGTAACAATGGCATACATTAGGAAACTGAGAAATTAAACATTTGTAGAAAAACTAAATGTCTTGTGCTAAGGTGGAGCTCATTTGCTGAGAGTTTACGTATGCTTAACTAAGATTATCATTTCCTTCAGAAGATTTTTCAGGTTTGACCTGAGCTCCTAATGTTTTTAATTTATTAGTGAAACATTTTTGGAAACAATCTCACCAATAGCAGTGTACTCCACAGACCTGAAAACCACAATTTGATTCAAAATCTATGTTAATTTAAATTTTAAAACAATTGGTTGGGTTGTATTGAGTACCTTTAATGTACGTTAGGCACCAGGTTTTTTGGCAGGGATCATAAAGTCTACAAGTTACCAGGGTCAAAAGCAACAACAAATTTATATAACTTTAACTCCCAGCAGTCCAATCAGTGGTCTTCCTGACTGCTTCTCTGAGTTGTGATTTCCTAGCCCAGTTTCTTGGAATTTACCAGAGCTTCAGGCAGTGTGGTCAAACAAAATAGCTGGATTTCAAAACAGAAATTTATCAGGCTGAGGAAAACTGTGCTTCTGTTAGCAACGTGTTTGTGACTGGTGTGTACATCTTGGCTTCAGCTTTAACCTGGACTAGAAATAGTAATACCTGGCTGGAGGAAATAGGTAAATAACAATGTAGCTGAGATACTCAATAGCTACTCTTCCCTGTCATTAATCTGTGGAAATAAAGGTTTGGAGAGCTGAAAGTACAGACAATAACAGGGAAATTGCAGGGCAGATAACAGCATTTCATGAAAGCCATTAGACCCTTCTGGGTCCCCTGAAAGCTTGCAGAGTTAAGTGTTTCGGTGTCATGAGTGGCAGAGAATAAGAAGGCCTATGCCATTAAGATGGTCTTCAGAGCTCTATGATGGTCTTCAGAGCTTTGAAATCCACCAGGATCAATGCCTGTGCTATCTGTAGCATTAGCTGCTTCTCTGACTTGCTAAATGGGAATAGGAAAACTAGGGAGATAAACAGATACATGGTTTATGGTTTTATAATGTGTACTCGTAAATGATGTATTTCATGATATTACATTTTTCTCTAACTTCAGTGCTGTTCAGAAGCTGTTCAGTGGTACTAGTTACCTTAGCGCTCCAGCCATATACTGTGGGAGGTACTCTGCACTTTTGGAGATACTAACACTCCTCTGCATACCTTTCCAGAATATATTATAGACAAGTTATTGAATGTGTCAATTCTATTTTGTTTTTAAAAAAGGTAGATATATCCAGGTTTTCTAAGAAGAGAAGCACGTTCTGGAACCTACTGTCTTTTCAATGAAAGCCTAGTTCAGTAAGAGCAAAGGCCATTCTACATGACAACAACTTATTGGATCAGGGAATATGTGGTATTTCTGATTTACTTTATAATCTTCTCCCTGTTTTATTGTATTACCAACATTTTCCATAGAAGTTTCCTGTTAGTTCTTGTAAGGTGTTTTTGTTTGTTGTTGGTTTTGGTTTTGTTTGTTTTTATTAAGTTGTTCTTTTACTTACAAAGTTATCTCATTCCTAGGTTAAAAACACTGACCCATCCAGAGGGACATGGTATATACTTGAGGGATTAGTTGAAGAGTATTTGTTTCCTGATGTAATCACAGAACTTGCTGCTAGTCAAAAGTACTCTACACCTCCTGTGCAACTTATTCAGTCTCTTCTACGATATGTCTTATTGGTGAGAGATGAAGACTAAAGTGTTATAAATATTAAAGCACGAAATTGAAGTACTACAATCTTTGCTTCTGATACAGTATTTAGTGGGTTTTTTAGCGATGTATTTACCCTTCACTTTGTGTTCATCAATGTGTGTTAAAAAGGAAAGAATTTAATACTTAAGGATTTCTTTTAAATTATTATTTATTTGCAAACTGTATGAATGTAGTGCTCTAAAATTGTGGAATAATTGTCCCATAATGTTTTTTGTTGCTTTTAGAAACAGCACTTCTGTGACTTTCTTTTTTAACCTAGTAGGCCACATATAGAGAACATAATTGAGAAGAAGGTTTGTTCTAGGCAGTGATACGCTCAGCTGGAATATAACACTAGAGCAAGCTCTCTTTCTTCCTTTCCTTTTTTTTGTAAAGTCAGAATTTTGCTGCTGCAGTTATGCATTAAATTGCGTATTACTTCACTGGTTAAATTCGGTCACCTGGGATTGTAAGAAATAAAGGAAATATATAAACTCTTAGTGAATGGGGATCATTGGCCAGTATGGAGCCAATAATATTTTCACATTCTATTACAGGGAAATACTGATGCATTATTTTATGCTAAGCTTCATCACGTTTTGTACCTTGTTCTCCAACATGATCCCCCTTGGAAGTCCCCATCTATGTTAAAGTATTATTTGGAACTTCTTCAGTGTCCTGTCTGTAAGAAGGGCACATGGTCCTTGATAGAGATGCTTGTAAGGTAAGAAAGATTAATGAGGTGTTGTGTGCAATAGTTGTTATCTTACTTAAAAATCTGGGATGGGGAAGGAGAGTTGAAATTCTATTGTATTAAAGTTACATTTTCACCAGGAAAAATTAACAGAATGTGAAGGTCTAGAATTGTAACTGAATTCTGGACCTTTCACTTCATAGTTCAGCAAGTGTTAGCTCAGAGGCAGAGAGGGGTTTTTTTTGAAAAGGAAAAGTACATTTTCTCATCCTCCTTCCTTTTTAAAAACTTACTTATTTTATTTTAAGCTTTCCATGAATTATAGTAATTTATGTATTACTGCTGTTCTGGTGTTTATGTATGTGTGTATATATATATATACACACGCACATAACAGCTGCAGTTACAAAGCAAGTTCCAGTCTTACCTTACCAAATATGAAGCTTCATGTTTTATTTTTATTTTAATCATAAACTTTACCATCTTGTTCAGGAAGTCTGATTATATCCTATACATTGACAGATACAAGACTTGGTCAGTACATGGGAGCTGTTCAGGTAGATTGTATATCTAGCTTGAGAACTCACTTTTTGTGATTGACATCAATAGAAAGTAATTCTTTTGTACATTTGGAAGGGAAATGGTACCTCTTCTTCTTACTGTCATAAAATGTTAAGCAAAAACTAATATTTTGATGCAACCGTGATTACAGATGTATGAATGTGTGTGATTGTAAGCATGTCTATGGTCTTGAAGGGCATTGAATCACTGTAATTGGACATTTATTAGTTTTTATGAGGAACATGTCACATGCAATGGAGTAGAATTTATCTCTTAGATTAACTATTTTATCTTTTAGTACTTGCAGAATATGAATACCTGGTAGTTGTTTACCTGGTGGTTCCAGTACTCAAATAAATGTGTTCCAGTAGCCAAAAAAATGTGTTCACACTTGACTTCAAAATTATCTCCATCATGGTGATCGTTAGACTTGATCGCAAACTGTGAAACTAGTCCTGTCAAATAGTATGTGTAAACTGTTATCTGAACTAACCTTTGTAGGCTGTTACAGTGTATAAAATATTACCAGACTACCTTGTAATTAAAAGATTTTAAAGAAATCCTCTTAAGTTCAGTAATTGTGCAGTACCTCAGGTAGAGACAGAATAATTAAATACAGTTATATTATTTAGACTGTAATAGTTTAGACTATAGTAAAAAAATCTTAAGCTACAACGAAAAGTTGCCAGTCACAAACCTTTCTTTTTTTGTTGGGGGGTTTTTTTTTTCAGCTTTAAAGCCAGAAAGTTAGGCTTTAAAATTATGAGTGTTGCTAGGGAGCAAGATATTTCCTTGTCAGAATTGTCAAAAGTCAATTTTAGCAGATAGATCAGACTATGATTCCTGTCATACAAATGGATTTTTGGTGTTTGTTTTTCAGGTCTTGCCTTTATTGCAAAACCATTTGTCATGCAGTCCCAGTTTCAGGGGGAGGAGGTGAACAGAGGATAGTTCACAAAAGATTATTGAAGTTTTTCTTTGAGTTAGTAAAATCTGAAGTAGAGTATCTGACAAAAAGGTAGGTTTTATAGGATAATACGTTCTTATTACTTTTCGCAATTTCATATGCATTTCTGTATCTGCAGCAGGTTGCATCCTGATTTTTGTATATTTCTGATGAGATAATGTTCTATGAAGATGACAGTTTAGTATTTCTTTTTGTATTTTTCAATTCTTAATATGCTTATTGTAATTTGTATAGGTTTTTTCATTATCATGACTTAAGGTCTCTAACTTTTACCAACGTATTATTTCACTATATTGCAAGTTTCAGTAAGCATTTCATTTTGCTCCTGAGGCTGTACTTTTACCTTTGCAATGCTTTGGTATTCATTCTTTAAGGTAGACAAGCAGCATTTTGAACATACTAATTTTTTCTTTTCTTATTCAGTTAACCTTTATCTTTTGCCAGTGAGACAATTATCTTTCCTTAGTTTATCAAGTATAAAACAAGTCTTGGTTTTGCTCTACCTTTATACAGTAAAGACAGCCTTTACTTTATGTAGTATTAGCACAATATTAGAATTCCTTCAGTCTGACTGTAATAGTAATCATTATTTTACTTACTATTCATCCATCAGAAATTGTGTCTGATCTTTCCACACTTAAAAATTGCCAAACCTGTGTGTGTTTTGACAGAAGACAGCGCTTCTGTCTGGTAACTACAATAATCAAAGCAGCATAAAGATTTAGGTTTTTCCACTTTTTTTTTTTTTTTCCCAGTTTGGTTGAAGGGACCAGTTCACAGCATCAGCAAGTCAGGCCACAGACAGTTCTTCTAAAGACCTTTTGGCTGGGAAGTGAAACCTCAGTGCTTTTTACCAAAAACATAAATATTTTAGCAGATTGGGTCATACTTTCCCATAGAGAATTGAACAGAAAAAATGATGTGAGTATGAATTTTATGCTTTAAAATAATGAAGACTGACATTTTTTTAAAAGGCGTTCCTTTGTCCATTCTTTTGTGAGGAATTATATGTAAGTATCACAGCTGCTTGTTATAGCTGCCTTTTGTTGTGAAGCATGCTGGTTTTTGCTCCACTAAAGGAAATGAATTGATCCATAAGATTCTCATATTGATCTGTAGAGAAGAAACGAATCATGAGTAGCTTGTTGGCTGCATTCAGATGTTCACATGCCCTTACCAGCAGGTATTACTGTAGTCATTAGGGACACCAACTTAACACATCCTGTCAAACAATAAGGTGTAACAGAAGAGGTGATTATCTTATTTTACAGTGATTGTATTCAGGAAATGTTGGAAGGTGATAGCTCACAAAACTAATGGTTGTTTTTTTTTTTTTTTTCTGTTTTCTACAGATATGCATTATTTTAGTTTAATAAATGCCCCAGTTTTCTTTCCAAGTCCCTTAGTTTCATTTGGTATCTTCCCTAGGTCTTTTCAGAAAAACGGAATTGAAGGCAACTTAATTGCTGTTCTGTGACCTGCTGACCAGCAGGACGTTGACCTGAAAGATACTGAGTGTCCTCTATACCACCTCTTTCTTTTCAGAAGCTAGAGGCCTTGTAAAACATCTTTGACTTCTAGATTCTCACATAAAATACAAACTTACTGCTGTCCCTGCGTTCTCTTTTAAATTATTGTGAAAGCACAGAATAAATAGGTACTTCATTCATTTTTTCAATACAATAACAGAACAACAATAGAAAATAAAGTATTCCAGAGAAAAAAGCACTTTTAATATAATACCTAGTAGTTCTTCATTATGTTAAGAAAGAAGAAAGATTAAACATAATGAGAGCTTCACTCATGTTACCTAGCCAGACCTCCTACCTTTTTTGAGGGCTATCAAAGCAAGACGTTCTGAAACAGTGCTGCCTTTTATCCTTGGTCAAGATATTAAAAAAGTGCCTAAAATTGGGCTTCTATACCTGTATTTATATTTAAACAACCTACCTTTTCAAAGGTACTGAGCACCAAGCAGGCTTGCATTCAGTTGGTGTCAGTGGCCATTCTGTTTCTTTGGAAAATGAAACTGCTTTCATATATTTCCTGATGTTGAATCTGCAGTTCAAGTATAGGCACCATTTTCTTTTTTCTGCTATGCCTTCTTTTGACAAGTTCCAGCACTTTAAGCCATACCTTTTTCATAACCATTCTTTGCTTAAGCAGAATAATCACTTGTGTCAGATAGTGTAATACGTATATGAATAATAAACTTAAAGAATAAAACATAGAAACCTACCTCTTGTTTAGATTCTATTTTCTTTGTATACATGTATATAAGAATTGTACTTTGTAGTATGTATGTAAGAATTGTACATAAAAGGCCTCTGGCTTCTGAAAAGAAAGAGGTGATATAGAGAACACTCAGTATCTTTCAGGTCAATGTCCTGCTGGTCAGCAGGTCACAGAACAGCAATTAAGTTGCCTTCAATTTCGTTTGTATTGTACATGTATATAAGAATTTGTACAATATCCCTGCAGATATGAGTTCTAGCCTTAAAAAGTACCTTGTTGCCTCATACATCTGTAGTGTTGTACGTTCTTTCTTACAGCTTTATTCTTTAGTTTTATATTTCACTTTCTTTCTGTTTGCATTTTTCAGCAAAAATAGAGTCTCAAACAAAATACTGTATTTTTACAGTCAACAATTGTCATGATCTTTTTCTGCATTCTCAATTTTGTTATACTAAAACTTGATATGCTGATTTTTCCGTATATTCAGAGATTCATTTAAAATTCCATGACATAGTTGAAAAGGTCATTCAGAGAGCCGGAGGAGCAGATCCTCCCCAGCTATGCAGGCAGAACTGTGCTTTTTTTTTCCTCTTTTTTTTTTTTTATTATTTTAGAGATGCATAAATAAAACCACAGTATTTCCATTTCATTAAATATAGCGTATTTGGTGCAAAATTTCCCTTCCTGTCTTGAGTTTAAGGGTGTGTTTAAGGATTAATCAGTTTTGGTTCTTAAAAGCTCTTTGCTTAAGAGGCAATACATTGGTGAGAATCGTGTAAGGCCATTCAGAAAGATAAATGGAAGTAATGACTTGGGATATTCTTACTATCTGCATGGGCACAGAAATTAAGTGTTCTATAGCACGGGGTAAAGTGGAGATCATATTTCCCAGTTTTATAAGCTTGTTAGCTGGTGGGAAGAAACGAGCCAGTTTTATGCCATTTTTAATATACTCAACTTCCATGCAGTTCTCTAATGAAAATATCCGTAAATAAAAACAGGTAAATAATTTAAGTTTTTTGGGATATATCTAACACATTCTTTCCTACATAGTAAAAGTGGGAAATTATTTTTTTCTGTTTTAGCTTTTTAGAATCAGATTGTCTATTTTTCTGATTCAAAGAGATTGCAACAAATCAGCACTAGAGTAGAGGGAAAATACTGTGTATGTTTCCTCACTTCCAGTGCTGATTTTTTGCAAAGTTATGTTCTATAAATATATGTATGTGTGTAGAAAGAGCAATCCGGAAGCAGTTGTAGTATTTTAGCTGTGAAAATCCATGCTGAAATTCTGAGTTACTGACTTCCTTGGCTTACTTACTCTGAAGGTATTTCAGTTTTGAGGTCTATTATAGAATCATAGAATAGTTAGGGTTGGAAAGGACCTTAAGATCATCTAGTTCCAACGCCCCTGCCATGAGCAGGGAAACCACACACTAAACTATGGCACCCAAGGATCTGTCCAGCCTGGCCTTGAACACCTCCGGGGTTGGAGCATTCACAACTTCCTT